TTATTAAAATCTTATTTTATTATTATTGTGGAATTTCGTGTTCAGAGTATACGTTGTGAATGACTCTCAGCTAACACCACAGCAAACAGTAGGTCAATGTTTGTAAAACTAGCAAAGTTTTGCCCATTTTTGTTTAGGCTAACATTGATAYAGTTTGATGGTCATTTTGAATCAGGTTGACTCGAAACATTAATTAATTGCAGTTACATTGAATGATTATTTTCGGAAAGTTTGATTAAAATCTGCTCATTATTTCATAAAATGTTTCTCTAACAGTGCATACAAATAACACACATGGACAAAAACATCCTCCTTTTACGTCAGTGGTAGAATAGATCATCTTGTTTTAAGCTCTTTCCTGTTTTTTAAAGGGCTTCAAAGTGCTGCAAACTTTGTACAGCATCAGAACAGTAAATGTAATCATTTTGAATTAAAAAGGTGTTTTTATTTGTTATAGTAAACAAAAATGTTCTAATTTAGTAACAAATCAAATTACTGACATTTACCTCAATGTGTCTTTATGTTTCGACTTTCTACCTCTCACACAAAATGAACTCATTCTGCTCTTAATGGAAATCAATACATGGATTCAGTGAAACTCCTCCCTCCCTGTTTTGCTCCTTCACTGTGAGATTTCAGCCAAAGCTTGTTTCAGTACTTCCCCCTTACAACAAAGTAAACAAGAACAAAATGTTGCATTATTAAATAAAATAAGATGTTGCATTTTCCTACTCCAGAGTCATGATTTAATCTCCATAATTTTGCCAAACAGCACCCACATATCCTGCACCAGCTGACAAAGTTACATCCTCACCAGAAAACCAAGATGAAACACATATTTTATTTTTATTTTATTTCGTTTTATTTTTATTCTTTTGGTGTGGGGGTGAAGATGTATCACACTCACTGTCTTTTCGAAATAAAAGCAAACTATAACTGAACATAGTTTCATAGGTTTACATGTTTAAATATGTTCATTGAGTCTAACCCAAACAATGACTCACATTCAATTTCATTGTTTTTGCAGCATTTTAGATTCACATTCAGCCAAAACAGTAACAAGTTAATTCTGATTGTGCTCTTGTTGCGTGATATATATTGTTCTTAGAAAACAAAAAGCCAAAGCAAGCTCACTTTTACTTATTTTAATATTCTTTGAGCCACTGGGTGTGCACATCTGCAAAACGTATTTCAGCAAGACAAAAGGATTAACATTCTTTGACAGTTTTTCTTTGTTTGTTGCACAATTACTGTCCAGTCATACAGTATGTGCAAATAGTGCTGCTAGTTTTGTCACTGATGTTAGAATAATAGGACAAGAAATATTTGCACAGTAATCCACCCAGAACCTCACTTGCACTACAAGAAAAAAAAATACAACTATGAATGTCTGTTAACTAAGGGTGTGAAGGTTAACTGATTTGTACAGATTGTGAACCAGTGCAGCTTTGGAATCAAATTTTGATGTTTCTCTTATGTCTTTGTGTCAACAAAATCAGACCAGTTTTACAATTAAACATCAGCAGGCTTGTTTTTTTTTTTCACAAGTGTACTTCTGTTTATGTTTGTCTTTATTTCTTACAGCGGACAGCTTTTCTCCTGGCTGCAGCTGCTGTTAAACTGTATTGTTTTTTCCTTAGTGACACCTACAGTTCAGGAGAAAAACTGCAACAGCACCAGTGTAAACATCAACAAAACATAAAGCGATGAAAATCAACTAATAATGTATGAATAATGATCAGTGGTGGGCAGCACTAATCTGAAAATTAGTTCCACTAGCCCTAAAACACTAACTCAAATATTTATATACCCTAATTCTAAAGCACCAATGCAGTGAATTTTTTAGCAAAAGCTAATTCTAAAGCACTAAAATAACCCAGTCAACCCATGAACATTCTTCAACAGACAACATGAGTCACATGTTGCTCTCTTAGGACTTATCACTGACATTCCACATCTGTATTTGGGTTCATATATTCTCACCTGGTGGATAAGTAACACATATGAACAAAATGTGTGACAGCTTTCACCCTCAGCTGTTAACAGTAACGTTGATCAATAACATTTATATAACTCAGTTAGTGCTTCTAAATTTAGCCTATAACGTTAGCAAGTGCCAATTCACTAATACATTTTAAAATTAGCAAAAGCCCTAAAGCYCAAATCAGGAAATTAGTTCCCCTATTAGTGCTTTATGGGATCTGTGCCCACCGCTGATAATGATTAACTTGAGGTATAATGAAAAATATTTATTTTGTTGACATTTTGCTAGCAGAGCATGTTGTATTGTGATTAAAGGCTGTTTGTATTGTATTGTATTGTATTGTTCTTTCTTTCTTTCTTTCTTTCTTTCTTTCTTTTTTGATATGCACACACACACACACAGGTTCGCCCAGCTATACAGTTGGGGACGTTCCATTGACTTCCATTACATTTCTACAGCCTAACCCTGACCACAAACCCTAAGGCTAACCTCACAGGTACCTACCTGACCCTGAAACTAACCTAAACTTAATTCACACCTTGGTCCTAAACCCAACCTCCAGCACACCAATGGCATTTAAACCAAACGGGGACTCGACTTAGGTCCCCAAATGCACCAKTTGTCCCCAARTGTAGGCGTTTTGTCTTAAAATTGCCCCCAGAAAAACAAAGTGCAAGACAGAGAGATACAAGCACAGACTCAAATAACAGCTGAAATTAGGTGGCACATTTTTACATCTAAAGCTTTCCTCTAAGAACATCCATTTATGTCAAAATGCACTCATCAGGGAGACACAGCTGCCCGCAGGAGACCAGGCAACCCTCCTGCTTGTTTCTAGCATGTTCTCCTGCTTGTTATCGGGTGCTCTGCAGCATCCTCCTCAGCTTGTGAATCAACCTCCCTCCTCATTCTCCTCAAACCCACTCCCTCCCCAACCGGTTTTACTCTGCCCGGTAATAACAGCGCTCCGCAAAACAACCKTGTTTCTCTCAGCATCTCAATGAATTATTAACAGCCGCGTCCACAGTTTACCCCGGTTTCTCTCATGCCAAATAAAGAAACAAATAAATAAACAAATGCAGGGAAGAAATTGGCTGCAACGGTTGCAGCTATAAATACCCCCCACCCATGCATTCAGCACCCCTCCCTCATTCTCCTTTATCCAGAGAAAAGCGCATCAGCTAGGACAGCACTGCAGGGCCCCTCTGCTGTCTTGATGTGCACTTTTTTTAATGCAAGGGAGGGACACCAGTTATGTCATCGCTGCWACACCATTCGTGCCTGCTTGCTGATGCAATGGGGACGGTGCTATTCATTGACTCCCTGTTTTTTGCTMTGTTTGTAGCACATGTGTGCGAGCTGCTGCAGCTATGGCACGCTGGCGTTGGCACACACTGCAAGCCGTGCTGCTCATACAGATGCTGGGGGTCTCACTAAAACACACACAGACCCCAGTTTCACCAGTCCAAGCACACTTACRGCTTTGTCTTGACGCTCAGTGAAAGATGAGGAAGTTTTTTAACTAGTATTTTAAATTATTTGTAAACAAAATTGCTGATTTGTAGAAGTCAGGTAGCTGATGGCCAATTAAATACAAATTWTAGCAATAAGTGCTAAACTTAAACATATTTAACAACACTTGTAATAACTTAAACACCTTAAAATGTTATATGGAATAGTATTCTTTCTAATAAAACAATGTTGGAGACAGTAAGCAGGTTAAAGCAGCCTAAATATGCATACAGGCATGATTAACTGAYCAATATCACGATTAAAATCGGCCTCGAAAGAATTTGGAATCGGAGCTGTCCRAGGTGCTGAACTTTCCTCACAGAAAACTACGTAAAGCAGCAAAAACTTACAGGAGGGACTGAACTTTTAGGAGCTAATTCTGTCTGAAGGAGCTAAACCCTAAAAAGAATAGCTATTAATAAGAATAAGAATAAGAATAAGAATAAGAATAAGAATAAGAAATTAAGTGGAGCTACATGATTTGGGTTTTTAGTATCTGGACCACATGCCATTGCCTCATGCTGCAGGCCTGCAGCTAAACCCATTTACCCACCTTACACAGCTGAAAGTTTTCCGACACAAGCGTCTCCTGCACGTCGATCTCCCTGGGAGTCGGCGCCGCGGTGGGAGTCCCGGCCGCGCTGCCGCACGACGGCGACCCGATGGTCCCTCCAGGAGAGGACGTGGTCAGGCCGTCCAGCACCTTCCTGAACTTCTTCATCTTTCAGTCACCCCTCTTTGTTTCTTTTAAACGTCAGAGGGAGAGAAGAGGAGGGGGGGGGGTGGATAACAGCCGACTTTGTTTTYCCAGTGTTTACTTAACCGCAAAACCCGACCTGGTTCAGTCCGCGTCAAGAGGAAAGAAACWCTGGCTTCCTGGAGCAGCAGGGTGTTTTTTTCTCTCTTAGGTGCAATTTAGAAAGCACCTCATGCACCTCATCTTGATGCGAAGTGATTGCACCCTATCCGCGCTGATCTGAGGATTCCAGCCAACGTTGCAGATGCGGGTCGCCTGCCTATCTCATATCAGAGCCTGCAACACTTCTACTCAACTTCACCCCTCCGCCTGCATCCTGAAGTCAGATTCACTCCCGAGTTTTAGGAACAAAATCCCTCGGCATAATCAGGGTAGTTTTGTCATACAGAAGAAAACAGAAAAAATAAATAAAAACTTCAGCAGGTTGATCCTCTGTCCTCCCCCCCACCGCCCTCMGTGAGAAGCACTTTTCCCACTCCGGCTGCCAGAAACAGGAGGATGAGGAGCCAACAGTCAGGAGACGCAGAGGCAATGCAGTTAAAAAAGAAGGTTGGACTTCTCAGTCAGGCCACACACACACACACAYAAATAAAAAAACGAAACAAGTCAAGCATCCACGAGGAGGAAGAGGAGGGAGGAAGATGCTTCTCCTTCGCGGTGTGAACTCAGGGTTAATCTATGGCTCGAGCTGAACCTTATTTTTAGATATTTATTGGATCTGGTCCTGCTGTGCGCGCGTCGCCTCGCTGCAGCACAGATACGAGTGACGGGAGCTGTCCGTGGTGCTGAAGAGGGAAAAAAAACGCTCTAACCAAATAAAGAAAGAAAAGCAGCCAACCCCACGCCACGCCACGCCCACCCRCCCACCTCTTTGGGTTTCTGCTCCCGCCTACTCATCGGTGATTGGTTGCAAAGCTCTAAATCAGAGGAGCAGCATGATAAAGGCAGGAAAACAAACCACAGGGAAGAAACAGCCAGCACTCATCCATACAGAATGTACATTGGAAAATACATGATATATAAACTGTGTATATA